AGTATTTTGATTATCCACCCCTAAAGTTGTATTAATTCATATTTGATAGTTCTTGATTCTAATTATAAGGGAGATAATTATCTTTGTTCTTTTTTCTATGAACACAATCGTATGAAGTATAATATATATATATATTATATAAAGAAAGAGATTTTCTGCTTATATTTGGGATCATGTTGAGGACTATAGTAATGCAGTTATTTGCTGGTTCTTTTTAGTATTATATGGTATTGGTGATGCAGTCGTGGCTAGAATCTTTAGTGTAAAATAATAAAAATAGTTTTGATAAGAGATTGTTTTAATTGAGCTTTAGGATAAACACAATTTGGTAAAAGTATTGCCCGGCCTAAGGCGTAAGAACAAATAAAACAAAATATTATATTTACATAATTACAAACATGTTTGAGCCGACCAACGGGGAACAACAACAATGAGCATTTATAGAGAAAGCGCGACCTCTGGCGTTCGATTTAAACAGAGTATCTGGATCTATGAAATATATTTTTAAATAAAACAATACCTTAATATAAAATTTTTAATAATACCTTTATATATCATATATATATATATTAAAAATAAAGAAGGCATCTCCTGACCACGAGCAGATAGCGCTCTGCCATCTAAAAAGCACATGTGCTCGTGATCAGGAGATGCCTTCTTTATTTTTAATATCAACACCTGACCCACTTATCTTTTATTTTTTTCTATTGTTTTTCATATATATATATATATATATTCTACTTATATATACATATTCATACATATATGTTATATTAAAATATTATTTTATTTAAAATTATATTTCATGGATACAAATGCTCTGTTAAATCGACCGCAAGAGGTCGCTCTTACCCTATAAAAACTCGTTGTTGTTGTATCCCGTCATCTTTGCTCTCCTGTTCTTGCCATGAACCCTGCCAAGAAGAAGAATGCCAAGAGGCTCATCATGAACCTCGACGACATCGAGAGGGAGGACGAAATGGTGATCCAACGCAACCATGACATCCTGCATGCCATTGGCCATCCCGCCCTAAATGACCCTGCATGAGGACCTCGTCCATTTTATCGCCAGGCGGTCTGAACTGATCAAGGCCTTCGCTGCTGAAGTAGAGAACCTCTCAGGCACCCTCCAGTCCTTCGCGGAGCTGGACGAAGTTATAGAGGCTAACAAGCTCCAGACTGCCTGCCACAGCACCCAAACCTGCCCTGCTCCTTCCTGCAAGGAAACCAGCTCCCAGACTGACCCCATCAAACCCGCCACTCCTGCTCCTGCTGCCATCCCTGCCAAGAAGCCTGCCTCCACCTTGCCTGCTCCTGCTCCAACCAAAAGGAAGCAGCCTGAGGCTCCCAACCCGCCTGCAAAAAAGACAAACCTGAAAGGTCCTACGAAACCTGCGCCTTTCCGCGTCTCCAAGCCTGCGGCCGCCCAAGTGGTCCTCCATGGAGAAAAATTGGCGGCCCACACAGTGGTCATCTCTGATGACTCACAGGCTGACCGAAGGAAGATGCTTAAAGCTGTCCGCGCTGCCCACTCTCTCCCCCAAGGCGTTTGGGCCTCCCTGAGCACCAAGGGGAAGCTGGTCCTGCACTCCTGTAATCCTGAGACCATCCCTGAGGTGACTACCTCCCTGGCCAGCAAGTTAAATGGAATGAAGGTCCGCCAGCAGAAGAAGATCCTGCCACGAATCTGCCTCTTCAAAGTGGATGAGGAAACATCCAACTCCACAATTGAGAAGACCTTCCTGGGAACCGCAGCTGTTAGTAAACTTCCTTGGGGCAAAGTGGTGCTAGTGGCGCACCGTTCTGCACCCAGAAACGGGACCTGCACCGCCTTCATCGAGGTGGACATCAAGACCTTTAGAGCCCTGGGCGTTCGCGGAAGAATCGTGGTGGATGGAGTAATCCTCAACTTCGAGGAGTCCATCCGCGCCCGCGTCTGCTTCCGCTGTTGTGGCTTCGGCCACAACTCTGTCCAATGCACCAGAGCTTCTAAGTGCTTCCACTGCGGTTAAGACGGCCGCGCCTGCCCTTCCATTGCTGACCAGCGCACCTCCAAATGTGCCAACTGCTGCTCAAAGGGCCTTCCAGACAAGCACGAGGCGAGAGCCTCAAGCTGCCCCATCCTGAAGTCTAGGGCCCTCAAGTTCTAGGCTTCAAGGACCTTCTGCCTCCTATTCCATCGGCCACTTCTACTGGATTCCTGGCCAATTCAAGACTCCTGCCCCGCTGCACCCAGGCACGTTCCCCTGAACGTTTCCACCACCCCTGCGAGATATATCCAGCCGCCAGATCCTAGGATCCCTGGCCACCTGACATCGCGTCTGCTGCCTTTACGTTTTAGATACAGTGTGCCCGGAAAAGTCTCCACTGAGACTTGAGCGGGCGATGGCAAGAATATTCCCGTTGTTGTATCCCGCTGGCCGCCATGGATTCCTGCAAGAAGAAGAAGAAGAAAGCCAACAGGCCCTTTCAACCCTCGGTTGACATCGCGGCTCTTGTTGAAGAAGACAACATGGTCATCTCCCGCCACTACCAAATCCTGCAATCCCTCGGCCAGCCCTCCCTAGCAGCTCTTCACCCGGACCTTGTTCGCTCCATTGAGAAGCGAACGGAAATAATCAAGTGCCTAGTTAGAGATGTGAAGAACCTCGCGGGCACCTTGAATGACTTCATGGAGCTGAATGAAATCATGGATGCCTAAATGCCAAAGAAAACCTGCCAAACCACTCAAACTAGCCCTGCACCCACCTGCAAGGACTCTAGCGCTCAGACCGAGCTCATCAAGCCTTCCACCCCCGCTCCAGCTGCTGTCCCTGTGGCAGCACCTGCTCCCAAGAAGCCAGAACCTGCTCTAACCAAGAGGAAGCAGCCAGAGGCGTCAAACCCGCCCGCTAAGAGGAGCAAACCACTGGTGTCAGCCAAGCCTGCATCTTCCCGCGCCCCCAAGCCTGCCATTGCCAAAGGCACCCTCAATGGGGAGAAACCTGCGGTCCACATCGTGGTTATTGCGGATAACCCGTAGGCTGAACCAGGGATATCCTCAAAGCTGTCCGCGCTGCCCACACTCTGCCCCAAGGCGTCTGGGCGTCTCTGCGCACCAGGTGAAAATTGGTGCTGCACTTCAACACACTAGAGGCTATTCCTGCCGTCAGCTCTGCCCTGGACAACAAGCTCCAAGGCCTGAAAGTCCGGGAACTGAGGCAATTCCTCCCAAAAATCTGCCTCTTCAACGTGGAGGCGGAAACCGTGGATGAGGACATTGTCAAGGCCTTCCTTTCCACCGATGCCCTCAACCAGCTTCCTGGAGACAAGTCTGTCCGAGTGGCACACAGATCTCCGACCAGAAACGGCACCTACACGGCCTTTATCGAGCTGGACTTGGCTTCCTACAAGACCATTGGAAGACGCGGCAGGATCATTGTGGACCAAGTGAAGTTTCTTGAGAAACCAAGAAATAGTTATGTATGGCCAAACTTGTGTAAATACGCTTAACATGTGAAAAAAATAATAGAAAAAAAAGGTCTGGTGTTAATATTTAAAATAATTCTCAAGAAGCCTCTGGGACCGAAAATCTTTTTGGTCGCAGTGGTACCGCCTATTCCACGCTGACGAGCGCCAACAGCGCGAAACGCGTAGTGGATGACTTTTCTCGATTTATCAAGAAATTGGGTTGGCTAAATATCAGGGAACAGGCTAAATCAATGTTTAGTTGATTTCTGTTCCACCAGTTGGCGCTCTGCCTTCTGTAAAGCACATGTGCTCCTGGTCAGGATATGCCATTTTTATTTGTGATTTCAACACCTGACCTTTTTGTCTTTTTTTTCTTTCGTTTTTTTCATGTATTAAGCGTATTTACGCAAGTTTGGCCTTAAATACCAATTTCTTGGTTTTTCAGGAAGCCACTGGGACCAAAAAAAACCTTTTTGGTCGCAGTGGTACAGCCTACTCCACGCTGACGAGCGCCAAAAGCGCGAAACGCGTTCGTGGATGGCTTTTCTTGATTTATCAAGAAATTGGGTTTTCCAAATATCAGGGAACAGGCTAAATCAATGTTTAGTTGATTTCTGTTCCACCAGATGGCGCTCTGCCTTGTGTAAAGCACATGTGCTCCTGGTCAGGATATGCCATTTTTTATTTTTAATATATATATATATCAAAATCAGAAAGGCATTTCCTAACCAAGCTCACATGAACCTTTTTTTGCTAATATCTCGGTTGGCTGAACGCCAGCCTTTTTTTAAAGGTTATTAAACATATTTGTTTTTATCCCGTGTAACTTAATGTGTTTGAAATATTTGTTTGTTACATTTTTCTTCACATATGTACCATTTTGCTTCTTAATTTTAATTCTTAGATTTCAAACTTCTATTTGTTTATTTTTCGTAATAAAAGAAAAATATAAATTTAATAAAATTTAATATTATATCCTTCTAATGTGTGTTGTGTATATATTTTGTAGGTGCTACATATATATTTAGAAATGTCATAGCTGTTATTTAAGCACATGAAGTGAGCCTCTCAAATTAGCCTTGTTTCTCAATGAAACTTGGCGTAATCCCATCTACTTATATAATTGCCTTATTCTGTCTGTGTGAAGTTCACGGATAGATTTTCGTCAGTCATCAGAGTCATCAATTCTGACATCGTTTTAAAAAATTAAAATGTTAAAAAAAGATGCCGAAACCCGGGATCGAACCAGGGACCTTTAGATCTTCAGTCTAGCGCTCTCCCAACGGAGCTATTTCGGCTTATTTTAGTCATTTCTATAGAAGCTTCTATCTTTATAATTATGTATATTTTCAAAAAGTCAATTCACACCTCTTCGCTGGAGACCATGGGAATACTGACTAATTCATTATGCTAACATAATCATCACAATCTACTTATATAATTGCCTTATTCTGTCTGTGTGAAGTTCACTTTGTGAAGTTCACGGATAGATTTTGGTCAGAGTCATCAATTCTGTCATCGTTTTAAAAAATTAAAATATTTAAAAAAGATGCCGAAACCCGGGATCGAACCAGGGGCCTTTAGATCTTCAGTCTAACGCTCTCCCAACTGAGCTATTTCGGCTTATTTTAGTCATTTCTATAGAAGCTTCTATGTTTATAATTATGTATATTTTCAAAAAGTCAATTCACACCTCTTCGCTGGAGACCATGGGAATACTGTTTAATTCATTATGCTAACATAATCATCATCATCTACTTATATAATTGCCTTATTCTGTCTGTGTGAAGTTCACTTTGTGAAGTTCACGGATAGATTTTGGTCAGAATGGATAAAATAAAAAAGTGTCAAGGGATGGGAATCGAACCCACGACCTTCCGCTTACCGGGCAGATGCCATGACCACTAGGCTACCCTGGACATATTTTTCCGTTCATAAAGTTAATATATGATTCCAATATATATAATAATTGTATAAACGAATGCAAGACAAAATCACCGCGAATGTTTCTTTTTTTTTAAGCCAATTTTTGTTTCGATTTTATTGAAAAAAAAAAACGATATGGTGCCTTTAAAAAATGATCTTTATTACTATGCAGTTTTCTATTTAGTCAATATACCTAAGTTCATGTTGCAAATGTAATTATCTCTATCGATTTAGTAGGTGAAATGCAAACAAAAAATCGACATGATGAAATCTTTATGAAAATTCACATTTTTATTTTTATATTTTCAAGACACACACAGTTTGGGGCGGGACGTTTCACAAGAGAGACATCCACGGCGCCAATTTATAATTGTAACGAATAGTATTTTAATTAAAACATTTTAAAAACACACAGTTTGGAACGGGACGTTTCACAAGAGTGACATCCATGGCGCCAATTTATAATTGTAACGAATAGTATTTGAATTAAAACGTTTTAAAAATATTTACGCACTCGGGTAAAACCCGGGCGTTGCCCGGGCCATTCGTCTAGTATGAAATAATGGACGAAAATAAAATATATTCTTGTTTGAGAATTACTTAAATAAAAACTTAAATGAAAATATTTCTTTCACAACCTTTTTAATAATTGGTTTAATAATTAATTATAAAAACACTTTTAAAAAAAGCTTTTATTTAAGATGCACTAAAAATAACAAAATAAATATTTCTGAATGTGCCATTTAACAAATAGATTAATAGAATTAGAAATAAAAGCGGTGGGGGGTGATAATCATTTATGCAGTAAATAGGTATAAATTTAATGAAAGGCATAAATATTTCTGAAGTATTGCTTTTTTTCTGAAGGTACCATTTAACAAAAAAATTGAGATCAATGTGATTTTATATGAAGCAAATGATTTGCAAGATTATGCCTTTCATTAAATTTATACCTATTTGCTGCATAAATGATTATCACCCCCCACCGCTTTTATTTCTAATTCTATTAATCTATTTGTTAAATGGCACATTCAGAAATATTTATTGTGTTATTTTTAGTGCATTTTAAATAAAAGCTTTTTTTAAAAAGTGTTTTTATAATTAATTATTCACGCTATTTTTAGTCGTATATATGCCAGTCCAAAAAAAAAGCCTTATCACTGAGACGACGTTGGCCTTAAATAGCTGCAAGCCTGCTCGCAGCAGATTGGTCAATTCCTCATGGGAGGTCGGATGTGACATAAGCAAAATCCGTTACTAACAGAACTGCGTCTCTTTGCTTTTGCGAACCCTAAATTTATTGAATTATATTACAAAGTTAGAGACACCCAGTGGGACCAAAGAATTAGGGCTCAAAGTAGTGTTACCGAAGCAGCGTTTTCCCTCGAGTTCCGCCTCGTGAGCCTCCTGTGCTGCGCGCGCATTGTCATCAGGTTTGAACATGTGTACCAAATTTCATATTTCTAGGTGCCCTATAAGTATATTAAAAATTGATTACAAGATTTGGCGACAGACATCCAGACAGACAGACAGACATGGAGGCAAGTTAAATAAAAGCTTTTAAAAATAAATATAGATAATGGTTCATTTCCCGCCTTCCCGACCACCCAGAAGTCTGAAAATTAGTACACTTGCATTGTTAATTGGACTGAGCGAGTATTGTGAGTTTCATTATTCTATATGGTCTGGAAGCATATTAAAATTAAATATACAAAATTTGAAAGGAGATTTGGAAATATGTCCGTTCTTGGCCAACCTGACAACCCAGAAGTGTGAAAATTGGTCAGCTAGCATTGTCATCAGGTTTGAACATGTGTACCAAATTTCATATTTCTAGGTGCCCAATAAGTATATTAAAAATTGATTACAAGATTTGGCGACAGACATCCAGACAGACAGACATGGAGGCAAGTTAAATAAAAGTTTTTAAAAAGAGCGTAATTTCGGCACTTAGAGAGAGGTTTTTTAAAAATATACATCTGTATAAATTACTTTGTAAAAAGTGAGGATAGGCATGCTCTATGAACGTCAAGTAGGGCGAGACGTTCTAGTCGTCATTCTGCTGCTGTAGTGTTAAGAAAGAAGAGGGGCACTGAGGAAAGCCAGGAGGCCAGAGTCTGAGAATTAAATAAAAAGGTAGCGGCGGTGGCAAGGTGGGCCGCTGCTGCTGGCAGCGAATCGATGGAGGCAGCAGCTGAAACCCGAGCCGTCAATATCCAAAATTTAAATTGTAGGAACAGCCAGCTGTTTCAATTGATTGAACTTCCACGACTCGCTCTCTCTCCTTCTCTTGCACCATATACACCAGACGCTCTCTCGTTTCACTCAGCTTTTTCTTTAGTTCTCTTACAAGAAGCCATCGAATTTAAGACGTTTTGAAGGCGTAATTTACGAGTATATATAATATAACTTAATACCTCTCATTAAAATAGGAACTGCCCATCATCCAATAAGAACCCATTTAATAAGGAAACACTAAATAGGTTTATCGTTATTTCTATAACGGTTCCCTTCACTCTTGGGTTTATTGTAATTGTTAAGTCACACAACTTTGTCGTACTGTGTGGCCAACATTCCTTAATCTTTTTAAATTGAATTTTATAAGACAATTATTACTAAGAATTTTTTATGTATTGAGCTCTTCAGGTCTTGAATATTTCGTTCTTAAACATTCATTCCATTTCTTTGAGAAATTTCATTTTAAGGCGAAATATTAGAATATTAAAACTGAAAAAGAAAGTTCAAAAGAGTCCAATATTGAGATTTAAATTACATATTGTTTTAAGTCATCACTTTTATATTATTTTGTTGACAACTGACATTCCCTCCCTAAATAAATTTTGTAATTAGCTCAAATAGTTTATCATTAAAAATCAATTTATAGATTAATTTTATGAATCAATTCTCACCAAAACTTTCCATATCACCCTTGTTAACCATGGGAAGGTTTTCGTCCTATTTTTCCTAACTTCCCCATTTTATTATGTTTATTTTTATAATTTTGGAGTACACAAGAAATTATTATATGAATGTCTTCAGAATTAGGGAATTCTTATTTCTTTATGGACTCCTCCGCTTGCATACCGATCGCCGATGCGTCACTCGTTAATCGGCTTATTGTCAAAATAGTCTCGGCAATTTAATTTTTTTAATTATTAGCAAATTTCTTTTTTCTTATTTCATAACAAATATTTCGCCTCTCACACAATGAGATACTCAAATATTGATATTTTATTTCCTATCAAGCATAACTACATTTTCTAAAGGAAAATAAATATGTACATCAACGTTTCAATACTCGAATTTACGTTTATTTGTCATTATTTTATCTGCTCTTCACTTTCTACAATTATTATTGTAGTTAGTCACCATTTCCGGACCTCCTCTAACTTTCTCATAGATGTCAAGATGTCGACGATTGGTTAACGTAGCATATAAACGATTATCGGTTACAATTCAGAGACAAAATTAACCGTTAACAAATTTCGCAGAACAATTTTTCTTTGAATCTCGCAATATCACGCAAGCACTATATTTCTTTATCTCTACAGAACGTTGAGAATTCTAGTTAGAAGAAACAGTCGATGTATAGTGCATTGTTATTGCTAATATTTTGGCATGAGAGAGCTAACGCTTCATTTTATTAAAAATATCATGTTCAATGAACACTGTAATGTCCAAATATTCAGTGACGTTCCAAGATGATCGGGCTTAGCACCATTGTAATCGAAGAGGCCTGTGTTGGAGGTGTTAAAGAGAGGGAACACAAAGAAAGCTGATATCGCAGATTCACCTCTGTAATACGTCTTGGAGCCTCAACACGTGTCGCTGTGGAACTGTACGCTCGTGGTGCACGATCCGAATATCCACTCTACTTGTTGTCCTTCTAGTGGTACGTCGTGGGTGGGCGCCATCTTGTTTCCACCGATGACATTGCCTCTCTAAAATTTGGTCAACTGTAAATATTTTTATGCTGCGTTTATCTGATATATTCATTACTCCGTAATTCTTCTAACATTATTAGATTCTGTTTGTTTAAATAGATCATCCAGACAATATGAGCCTCTATAATAACCAGAACCTAAAACCTGCTGCACAGCTCCCAAGTGCTCAGTCACGCACATTCACCCCAAACTAAGATCAAATACATATATGACTTTATCCTGTATATTTACATAGCGTGGCGTTTATAGCAGGCTTCCTTCTTGGTGTGCACATTTTATTGGTCATGATGGTATTCTGCAATTTACCTCCCCGCCATATATTTAGTTTTATCTGATTTTGTATGGTGGATATCCTAAAATCTGAGACGCTGTGTTCTAAATAAAAGTTTACGGAGAGATTATTTTAAAAACTCTGCTCTTTGTATGTTTTGTCATCAAACTCAAAAGTCCACTGTCTACGATAATATATGTTTGTAACTGATAATTTTTATCGATAGATGGTAATATTGACTTTATAAAAATAAAATATGTGTAGTTGATTTTCACGAATATCCTATAATGTTTGGTGTAGTCCCGTGATGACATATCTCCCAGATGGTTCTGAAATGTCACCTCTTCCAGGATGTAACTACGCCCTGCAAGCTGCGTCAATCATGACGCCTTCCTGGAAGAGACTACGCCCCCGGATAATTACATCAGCAAAAGCAATTAAATTTCAAACGTGTATGGAAGAGTTTCATTCCTCCTAAAATA